ACTGCTTCTGAAAACCTGCTAGACGGTCAGCTTGATGGCACATAACTAAAATCCTGAATGAGTAGTTTGCTACACTTATCCAATAGCCTGTAGACAATCTCAGTATTGTTTCATGCTTTAAAATAGAGGTTATAATCTTTATATTATAACCCTGTGACTTAGCCTTTAAAAATGAAATTTTAGAAAAGTGACACATTCTTTTAATAATAATGCCAAATTTTAGTACTAGAAAATATGAGAGAGTAAAATACCAAGATTTCACTTTATAAATGATGACTTGAAGATCTTTTACTTTGTTGTCCCTAGATATATAACACATGTTTAGAGTTCTTTAATGACGCCAAGTATTTACTGTTAGGACAATAGTCATTACAAAAACTGCAAAAGATAGTTTTTTTTCATTGTGTACTGCTGTCATCTGTTTATTGAAGAATGTACTTTATTGAATAAGACGGTCTGTTATGCCAAGGTATCATTATTTTATGTGGTTTTGCATTTTGCATCAGCTGTATCAAGCCTAAGTCATTTGTGCTTCCTTTTTTTTTTTTTGTTTTTTACATCAGATGGGTAAAATGCCCATGTTTAACAAGGTTTAAAGGGCAGCTCATGTCATATAAAAGCATGAACACCCAGTCATCATGCTTATGAACCAGAAAAGGATCTAAAGTTTTTTTCGGGGGGCTTTTTGTTTTGTTTTGTTTTCCTTTCTTGCTGCGTATCTTCAAATCAGATCTGGATGGCATAGAAGGAGATTTCTCCTCCTTCTCCAGCATAGCATCTGGTGGATTTGAACTGCACACGTTCAGGATTGCAGTTCAGCTTCTTGCCACTATGGTGCTTTCTTTTTGATGTTTTTGTTGATGTATCTAACAATCATTGCTGCGAGGATACTGAGTTAGCAGTAGTATTTATCATCATTTACCAGAAAACAAATCCTGAATATAAGACACTTTGTGCCTAATAAGTTTTCTGATTTTTTTATAAAATTCAATTCTTGTTTTTTAAGCCATGCCATACAGAATATTGTCACTTTGGAAATCTTTACAATTTGTACGGGCATTCTTTTATTTCATGGTGTTGGTTAGAGTCTACTGGTTTCAGTATGTTTTATTTCATGTTTGTGCTCTGTAGTTTCTTTTTTTTTTTTTTGTTCCTGCTCTGTAGTTTCTGTTTACGTGATGCTGATTTCTATATTTTGTTTTTATACTTCTGATAACATTGCATTTTTCTAAGAATTAGCTAAATTTTCACTTGAGATTTGTTATATAGAAAATTTTAAAATTAATTTAGGGCTTTAATTATACATTATTTCCTTATTTGACTTTTAAGCTTTAAATAATAATGGAAAACTGTTTTAATTGCATTTGGTATTTTAAATTGTAATTGACATTT